TTAAGGAAATACTCGACGCAAATATCTTTGCAAAATTGATTCCAATCAACAATAGTGTGATCGGATGCAATATTAAGCTCTTGCTTAAAATCGTTTATTGAAAATTTTCGACTTTTACCTGCGCCTCTACTCCAAACGTAAGTCAAGCCTAATACCTGCCTCAATTGTAAATGGGATTTCTCTAAAAAGCTGTCTTTTCTTATGCTAAAAGTTCTTTTACAACCTTTCACTGGACTTCTCTAAATTATTTGATCGATTGAGTTATTTTTAGCTTGATGTGTGCAAAGAACGCCACATACACTACAATTCATACTTTCAGCAAGTAAACCATGAGTTCTGCACCAACAAATTGTATCTCCTAAATTGTATTTAAATCGTGCTCCAATTTCTGATTGCGAAATAGAGCCAAATTCGTTCATTATTGGTCTTCGAATAGCCATGTTGCTCAATACTTTAGGTGTTGCAAAATGTTATTTCTACTTCTAAAAACGCGTTTGTAAGATATAAATTCAAAAGGGGGTTAAATAAAATTTTTGAAAAACATTTGTAGAAAAGCATTACGGTTTCAAACAAATTTTTTAAAATTGATAATTTTGTTAATGAGTATTATCTAATAGAAAAATTTTTTAAATATATTTAATAAAAGTTTTACTACAATTACATAACTCCAAAAATCTTACACCCCAGTTAACACAAAACTTTATCGTAAAAAATAGCCACCAGATATTATCTATTCATTAGTCCACATTCTAAGATTCTTTTTATATTTTTTAGGAACATTTTTAAATAATAATAATTTCAATGCTGACGGAAACCAGGTAAGTTTATCGCGCAAGGTTAATGGTAATTAATTTTGATAAGATTTAGAAAAAATGGCGAATTTTAGCGTTTATAGTGTGATTTTTTTAAACTTTGACGTGGAATTAGAGCAATTTCCGTTGATTTTCAGACCTATGTTTTTATACGATTCTTAATCAGCATAAAATTCTCTAACATAATTAATCATAAAAAAAGGGGGGGGGGAGCAACTGCAGTATCTTACAGATACTTTTCTTTCTTTAACATTACTATCTGAATGATGTTCCCAATTTATATTCAATCTTTAAAATTTAATGAGATTATTAAAAGAAATCAATTTTTAAAGAAATATCATTGTTTACTTATTTGACAAGTTTTGAGTTAAAACGAACTAAATAATATCATTTAACTTAAAAATGAATAAATTTTTAATCAAACATAAATCACAAACTGTATGCTCACAGTTTAAATATTTTTTAACTGTTATCAAAACAAATTACTGTTTACCTAGTATATTGATATTATCTAATATTTTTATATCTTAAACTGTAATGATTTATAAATTTATATAACTATTCGAATAAAATTCAAATAACTATTTATAAATAAAAAATAAAGTTATTATTGATAAATACCAAATAATATTATTAAATAATATTAATTTAACAGGTAAACGAATTAACTTTCTTAGGCATTAGGAAAGTTAATTCGTTTCTAAAAATTTTGATAAAATTTAATAGAAAAGTTTATTCTTCGGTTTTTTTATAAAAAATAGAACCAAATTGACTGATCGTCGGCTGTACATTGGCTGAACGTCGGCTGATTGTCTATTTGCCTATTCATCGGCCAACAAACACAAAACCGACCTTCAACCGATATTGTTTTGCTAAAAACAGAGTAGTTCAACCAATGTAACAAGCTCGGCCCGAGCTCGGACCACCGTCGGACTTAACACAGGGTTACTTGCATTTTATAGAATATTTGATCGACACTTTATTGAAAAAAAAAATACTTCGCCCTGTTTTTGTACTAAGCGATGGTCGCAGTTCTCGCTTCCATTACATCTTACTTCGATTTCTTAGAGAGAAAGAAATACATTTATTTATTTCACCTCCAGATACTACTGGGGTAACACAACTACTTGATCAAATTAACAAGGCACTTTATGAATATTATGCAAATGCAAAAGAAAATCTGTTCAACCAACATCAAACTATTAATAGAGCAGCCTTTATGTTGTCTCTTGCAAGTATGTGGGACAAGTGGGTCACGCAAAAATCGATAAAAAAGCAGGAAAGAAAGATAGCATTACTAATAAAAGTTTAAATGTTGCATTTATGCAAAATGATAAATTTCAACAAGCTTCTATGCTAGCAGAGGAGGTTAAAAAAAACAGTTCTATGATAAAAACACCTCAACAACAGACAACATTATGTTTATTAGCTGCTTTACCTAACGTTACTGATATTTCTACAGTTCTAAATAGCAAATTAAGTTCTCCTATATCAATAAAACGAAAAGATAGCCAAATGTATTAGAGAGAAAAAGCTTCAAACTGGAAAGACAAACGTTTGTCATTGCAGGCCATGATCACAGACTTACATGAAAAAAGCATAAATCTTAATGACATACCAGGTCTTTGACAATCCAAAAAGTAAAGTCAACTCAAAGTAATAGTATGCAAAGAAACTACAAGAATAACTCAAGTCCATGGCTCCATGGAAAGTCAAGATGTGCTAAAACTTGTAGAATCTATTAACAATTTAAAGGAAAAAAAGTGCAAGACAAAAATGACAGTGAAAGAAAAAAGATTGAAGAAACTGAGTTGTTCTATAGATGCAAGGAAAGATGCATTTCAGACAATGGCATTTGTGAAGCTGCACAGCTAAAACAATGTTCTTCCACTTTAAAAAAAAATGCCCGTAGGGATACGTGAAAAATTATAAATTCATAAAATGTATTTGATAAAACAGAAATTAGTAACACTCATATTATTATTACCAGTCATATTATTCATATGAGTAAAATTTGTAAATCTCTGCGCGCCCCCCCCCCGCCTTGCGGGGTTATAGTTACGCCACTGGTGCTGATGTTACTATTAACTACATTTTTTGCTGAAATAAATATGATCAGTTTTGTATTTCTTGTCATAATGTTCTTGTTTTTTTCTTGTTCATCTTGTCTTATTTATTGACGTAAAACAGTAATACCTAATATCGTTTTTTCTAATAATTTTTTCAAACAGGAGTTATAAGAAAGTATTTTTTTTACTAGAAAAATATCTTTATTTTTAACGATTGACTTCTTTAATTATATTTTAAACTTGTAAATGTATTAAACTGTAATGTATATCACTACGATAATTTAAAGTTATATTGTGTACATATTGTTAAAAACTATTAGTTGTAAAAGAAAACTCTTATCTTTTACAAAATTATGAAATGTGGCGTAAGAAGGGTCATTACCGCCTGGGGCCTAAATAGCAAAAAAATACATTTTTGAAGTTAATTAAAAAAAAACAAACAAAACAGCCTTCTATAAAAAAAAGTGCTTTTGTTTTTGCTCCTTTTTTTTCTCTGATGCCCCTTTAACTCTTTGCGCTCGGAGCAAAAGCTGCCTTGGCCCCCGTCTAGCTACGCAACTGATTATCAAAACTAATATTTAACATAAAATCATATTATTGAACTTAATCGAGGAATTTCAAATTTGCATTGATGATTTCGGTTTAAGAAATACGCAAATTAATGACATATCCATTTATCAAAAAATCACGTAGATTTTATAAATTATAGAATAATTTTATTTTCCCTTTCATAGGGCTGAGCTTCATGCGGATGAATCCATCATGGTTTCAATCAGATTTGGGAAGCGCTATATTTGTTTATAAAATTTCTTATATGTTACGCAATTCTGTAAGCTTTGAACCCGATATGCTTGACATTTGTATGACTGGTTAACATGTGGAATTCACATGAAGAGTTTCAGCCATATAGTTACTATAGTTTTGGTTATTACACAATGTTACAAATAATATAATTTTGTTTATAATTTAATATTAACACATGATATAAATTGTTTTGAGTTAGGGGTTGGAGGTGTTTTCCGTCATCCTCACCCTGGTGATATTGATCGCCTATCGCTGTACTGATCAAAACTTTATAAGCCATGTTAATAAACTGAATCAAGTTAGTTTAAACAACTTATAAATAGTATACTAAGCACGAATAATTCACTTAACATTGAGTGAATACATCGAGCAAAAAATAACTATTTTGTAAAATAGAATAAAAAATTACTATTTTGCACTAACTTTTTTAAAATAATTTTTAAAAATGCATATAAGTAATTGTTTTTTTTAATTTTGTTCAGCAATAATGGTAATGTATAATAGGTGAATGATTTATTATTTATTAAAAGTACATTTGTTGAACATATGCATTATTAGATTCTAAAATAAGCAGTTCTAAGATTTTTTTTGAAAAATTGCTAATTTTTTTTAAAATACATTCTGTTTCTTTATGTTTTATTGTATATTATTGAAAATGTAATTTTAAGAAAATAACCCATTTTCCCCATTGTAATTATTGTTAATTAAAAGAGTCAATATTTTCCTTTTTTTTTGACTGAAAAAAATGGCATGGTAAAAAAAATCCTTTAGTGTGTGTATTTAACATATATTGATGTTATTATATGCTGAGTTTCATAGTTTTTACTTAAAGTTTTACAAGCTTTTTTGTGTTTTTTTGTTGTTGTGACAGTTGTAACCATGACGGTTGTAATGAAAATCCAATGCAAAAAACAGCAAATATAATGACACAATAAATGATGTAATAAAAAAAGTATAACTAATTAATAACTATCATATATAACATGTTAAAAAACTGCAATAAAACTTTATCAAAATTTTCAATTATGTATATACGTTACGATTTTCAACACTACACAACAGGACTGTAAATAAGCATCAAAACAAGTTTATACGACCCTTACAACTTTTAAACCATGCTATGGTAGGATAAAATGATTTTTTTAAATAACTTTTTTGCTTAAAAGTATTTTAAAATAGTTAAAAAAAAAGTTTTGGAGTTTAGTATGTGTTTTCATAACTTTTTTGCTTTTTTTTTTCCCTTTTTCTCGCAGAGTTGCCCATATGTTATGTGATTGAAAAGATTTGTATATTAACATTTTTATTAATTTATTTTTAATAAAAAGTTTTTTATTAAGTTACATATTTTAAATAGTTTTTACTCACTTTGAGAGTAAAAAAGCTTTTTTACATGGAAGAAGAAATACCTATACACATTACACGTCACCATGCTGGGACAAATGATGAAGATATGATACTTCAGAGTAAAAGTAATCCATATGATGATTTATGGCAATATAAATCAGAAGCAGATGATTTAAATAAATACGATGACTTTCACACTATTGACTGGTCCAGAGATCGCATGAGAGATAGAATGAGATATCGAAAGGTTGAAAAAATGAAACATGAAGGAACTCGAACCGAGAAAATTAAAGTTAGACTAAATTTTTTTATATATTTATGTTGTAAAATGCATTTATATATTATGTCTTTCTCATACAGTATACATTTTAATTATATGTTTTATATAAATGTTAAATACTTTTTAAGAATACATTTTAATACAAATGAAAAATTTTATTAAAATTAAATGACAGAGTTTATATATATTTTTAAAAATCATGAGGTAAAAGTGCTTGTTGCAAAAATATATCTTCATATAACATTTTATCTGATAAACGACCTGTCTATTAGTTATCCAATAGTGGTGTAGTGGTATATCTCTTGCTTTGTAAATAAAAATTCTGAGTTCCATACTCACCACTTACCTGGTAAAAGCGTGTTTAACTTGTTTCTTCATGCAGCAGATTTGTTTGTCAGAGTTCAAGCAAATCCAGGAGATGCGTGCAGTTTTCCATTTCATTAGTGCACAAAAAAGGGTTTTCTTTAGACAACTTAGTCATGGTTGTTTGCAAGTTTTATATATTAGGTCTTCAAAAAAGTTTCAAAAACTAAGAAAGCAAAACTAATAAAATAGAAAATCAGAATAACTTTATATAATAATTAAAATTAAAAAAATTATTTATTTAAATAATTTGTGCACTGTTTTTATTTTTGCTTCTTTAGGATGGTTGTTATTTTCAGCAATGAAATTGGATATGACAAAAAAAAACAAAAAACAGTTTTGTTTTTGTTGTTGACATTAAAAAGACTGATTTACGTTTATTTTATTGGTTTTTTTAAAAAGGAAAACTAAAATAATAATTGCTATCTGTTTTTTAAAACAAACGCAGGTGACTTTATCTTAAAAGAAATAATTTTTAATTTCATTATCTTTAATTAATTTTATTAGTAAATATTTCAAATTATTTTTATGATTTTTATTGAATTTCTATATCACAAAACTTAACAATTTAATTTATTTTATATCACATTTATTTTATATCACATTTATTTTATATCAATAATTCTTTGTGTTCATTTTGAAAATTGCCTCTATCCTTTTTTCTGTCAGTCTTGTCATTTCTCCAACAAATTCAATTATTGCATGGTTCATAGTAATAAAGCGCTTCGTAACAATTTCCTCAATCCTTTCCTCATTTGCAAATTTTTTGTACATTTCACCAAAATAATATTACACCAAAGATAATGGAGTATCATCATTTTTAAGTTTTCTAATGATGTTAAAAGGATATTTTAAATAAATTTGATATTTTTGACGCTAAATAAATTATTTATTAGCTATTAAATCAAATGCAATCTCAGAAAAAATTTGATTTAATTAGCGTCAAAACAGAGGCCAAATTTGTTTTTGGAGCAATTTCTTTCAAAGTTGCATTTTTCTCATCCAAAAGTTGAATCAAAACATACTTAGTCATATAAAGGTCATTCATTCAATTAAATTGACTGAGTCATCGAGTCAAAACAGGCATTATGAGTGAGTGAGGAACATTAGCTGCAATTCTCTTTTTGTCAAAGTTTGCTTTAACAATGTGATGATTTTTCACAAACTTTATGATTTTCTCAGCTTTTTTGATGGTCTTTGAACTTTTAGCAATACTCAAAATGTCCTTAACTAGAAAATTCATACCGTGTGTTGCACAGCCATACGCTGAGATGTGTGGAATTTTTTCTACAATTTATTTCCAAGCAGCTTTCATTATTAGAGTGTTGTCTGTGATAATGCTTCTGAACTTTTGTGGGCTGAGAGTCTTAATTACTTCAACGATGGTACCAGCAACAGTCGCAACGTTTTGAATTACGCCCAATATGTTGATTAAAGTATAGAAAAACTATTTTTTTATATTTGGCGTCTTGATACAAAAATTCACTATATGATCGCCATTAATATTTGTCCAACCATCACTGATGAGGGTTAAATTTGATGATTTGAGATGATTTGAGAATTTCTCCCAATTTAGCGGAGCATTCAGCATACTTTTTATCAAGTAGCAAACTTGACAGCGTTTTTGCGCACAGTATTGAGGATGTATACGATAGATTAAGTGCTTTGTTTAAGCTTTAAAAGATTCAACAAGATTTAGAGATATTCTAGTTCGGAAAAAGAAATTTGCTAATTTCATATCGGTTTCTTTTTTTGATTATTCAGGGTTTATCGCATTGTTGACTACTCTATGTTTCAGCTGATATTATGATAACATTTTTGAAATTGGTTGATGATTCGGCTTATTGTTTTGCAAACAATTGATTCTCATCTTCACTAGTGCTTCGACATGATGTTTGTTTATGTGCGGCATGATCTTTTGCCTATCAAACTATCTTTTAGCAGGCAATGCAAGTTTAATTATAATAATACACTAATTGCCAGTGTCTAATTAAGTTATAAATTCAGGACTACAGAGTTAAAGAATACAGAGTCTATACCATATACTTAGTATTATTTACTCCCAAGTGTCTTGTTATGGAGAGGATAATAATAAATAAGTAAAAATATTTTGAAAATAATAATAAAATTAGGGAAGGTCCTCATATACTTTGAAAGCTTCCAAGTGTGACTTTAGATGAACTGAATCAGCATTTATATGCAGAATAAAAACCTTATAATTTAAAACAAATTAAAAGTTTTTAAAACCTTAATTTGTATTATGTAACGAATTCATATTAATTATTGTGTGGGATTACCGCAAATAGAACAAAGTTTGGTTTCAACACTTGACCTATAAACCTAAGTAATTTCTCTTTAAAGAAGTTAGGTTGCTACTATTTTAAATTGTGTGTATGTTTAATTTTTTAAAATTTTATTTAACCCTATTAATAAAAATTTACAAATTTTCATCGTAAATTTACAGAAATTGGTTAGGTGTCACTTATATAGATACAAACTAGTCTATGGAGAGACACATAAAAAGCATAAAGTTCTCAACAACAAAAAAGGAAGAAAAGCAAATGAAATATAAATGAGGAGAATAAAAAAAGAAAAAGCAGATAAAGAAAAAGAAAAAGAAAAACAATGACAATAATTATCCTTGCTCTTTTATTAACATTATGAATACTTCTAAATTGAATTCATATATTAAACATGTAAACCTATATTCTAGTTTCTTATGATATTATGAAGACTTTTAAATTTTATTTAAAATAAATTAAAGGTTGGTTACTTTGAGCTCTTATATTTATCAACAAAATTTATTTAAATTAAATAAACAATTTAAATCAAATAAATATCAGCCTGCTCAGTCCATGTTTATTTATAAATATAAAGTAAATAATAATATAATTATAAATAAAAAATTCATAAAGTAATCTATTTATTATTTTGTTTAAAGCTCACTCTACAGAGTTGTTAGATTACTATGGAAGCTTTTATCACAGATAGTTAATATTTGATTTCAGATACTGATGCAGATTTATCCATTACAGAGACAGAAGAATAATGAATACTAAGTTTTCAGAGTGTAAAAGATTAAAAGAAGCTAAAGAAAATGTTATGTAGTGTAAAGTTAAAAATAATCAAAAAAAAAACAACAACTTAAAAGTGTGTAAAAAAGAAGTTAGAGAGAAATCTAATATTTGTACTTTTTTTTAACAGCAGGTTCACAACAGTTGTAGTGGAATATATAATGGTCTTAACTTTGGTTTTTTTTAGTTTAGAAATTGTTCGTTTAATGAATACAGAGAAGTGAAAAAAAGATATTGAAATAAATAGCAATAAAAAGATAAAGTGTGTTTGTAAGATTTTTTATGTTGTAGATACAACTAGATTAGCTAATAGTGTTTATTTAAAGAAAGAATGATCAAGTGCAAAAGATAAATTTACTCTAGTAATGTTCAGATATTTTTATCCACTTCTATTAACAAAAGGTGCATTAAAAATAAAAATAAAGTATACAGCACATGAAAAGATGCTGTATAACATTAATATGGTTTGCACACAGAAAAAGTAAAACTTTGATAATAAAAAGTAAAACTTTGATATCTTATATCAAAAAGTACAACTGTTCGAATAATTATGGACAGTAGTGTATATATATATATAAATATTATTATATATATATATATATATATATATATATATATATATATATATATATATATATATATATATATATATATATATATAAATAGGCCTTGTTATGAGATTTTGTTGCGTAGTGGAAAAGCGCAACGCAAATAAGTTTATTCAATAAAGATCTTTACATCATTAAAAGTTTAATTACGTCAGTTGCGTATTTTAAAATACCTCATTGTAATTTAAAGCTACATTAAAAATTTTTGTAAGTCTGAAATGAAAATTAAATTAAACAATGTTGTTGTAAAAAAATTATAAATGAAATTTTAATGTTGGTTGATAAAAAAATTTCCTTATTTTTAAATCTTATACATATTTAAACTTGATTTTTTTTCTTTAAAATAATTAATTTATTTAATTCATTTCATGTTTATTTTTTTTTATGAGGGTAAACTTGTTTAAGGTTAATTTTCTTAAAGGGATTTACATGTACTTACACAATTAAATTGGATTTTCCCCTTTTCCCCAAGTTTGTTCTACCTAAAGCATTTTAGTAACTGGCATTTGATAAAATAAAAATTCTAATTAAACAAAGATTACCGTTTTTCTGCTTTGTTTTTTTTTTATTTCCATTAAAAAATTTAATTTTATGTACCATGAAACCTAATATATTTTTACTATTTCTTACTAAATCCAAAAAGTAAAATAGTATTTTTGGTTTTAAGGTGTTATTCTCTGGACTTGTTTTTAACAAATATCAGTATAATTTTGAAATTTATGTATCTTATATTTATAGCACTAGTATTAGTTTTGTTTTTAAAATAAAATAAATATAAGTTGGGCTTTTAAAGAGTTTATTCATTGATCACATTTTTAATCGGTTTAAAGTTTGGTTTGTTTTATAAAAAAAATAATGAAATTCTTCCACATAAAATTTAACAGCAAAGGGAAAACCCAAACATAACATTTATAAATCGAGTTAGAAAGAACTTTTTTGTATTGACGTCAAAATTATTAACTACAAA